GCCGGGCCCAGGCCGATGAAGCACCACGTGCCGGGGTACTGCAGTTCGTAGCGGCCCACACGCACCAGCGGCAGCAGAGCCACAGACAAGGCCACGGCAGCCAGCGCAGCCAGCGCAAGGCGCGCGCGGGCCACCGAGACCCGTGCCGCGTGCAGCAGGGGCCGCGTGACCCCCACCCAGCGCTCTACGGCCATGCCACAGCCCAGCAGCAGTGGGCATAGGCCAAAGAAGACCATGCAGCCGCCCAGAAAGTGGCAGGCTCCTCCGGCCGGCGAGCGCCCGGCCGCGTACAGGCGCAGCACCAGCGCGCCCGGGATCACGTGGCCAGCCAGGTCGGTGGCCAGCAGGCTGGCGACGAACAGCAGGAAGGTGGCAGCCGAGCGGCGGCGCCGCAAGCGGCCCGAGGCCTGCGCTAGCAGCGCCAGTGCCAGCACATTGGACACCGCGCCCAGTGTCATGGAGAAGATGGGCAGCGCCGGTGATGCGCCCCCGAGGCCGTAGGGTGGCCCAGCAGACGCATTGGGGGCCCCAGGCGTCGTACACGTTGTCGCCTCGCCTGCCAGGCTCAGGTTGAGGGGCCGGTAGAGGTTCATGTCAGGTCCCGGGGGTGGGGCTGGGGGGGAAGAGGAAGGCAAGTTGAGGCTAGCCCAGGGCATAGCGCTCACTGTTGGGCTGAAGCCAGCTGATGGTCCCTTCTTGGAGCATTAGGGCCCACATGACCCCATGGCAACTCCAAAGTTTCCTGACTTCTCTTTGGCCTCTTACCATCCCAGCTCTTGCTCCGTCTCACTCTGCCCTCACTGCCTACTTCTCTGTTCACTGTGGCTCCCCTGGCTCCAGCCCTCCTGTCTGTTTTAGCCTCTGGGCCTCACAGACCCACCTCCCATTTACACCATAGCAAATTCCTGGTCCCTGGCCCCATCTGATACTCACTGATCCATTTCTGATCCCAGGGCTCCACATGACCCCACTACCCCATCTCTGACAGTCATGTCACCTTTACTCCAGTCTCGTCCTCGGTGCACACAGCTCCACCTCTGCCACTGTGGGCCCATCTTTCTCCATTGCACTGTCTCTGTCCCCATGGTCCCATTTCTGTCCCCGTGACCGCATCTCTGTCCCCCACAGCCCCATCCGTCCCCCACATTCCCATCTCTAAGCTCCATTGTCGTCTCTCTCTCCCTTAGGCCTTACCCCCTGACCACAGCTGCCTCACCCTGGATACCCCAGGGTTTCACTCCTGCCAGCTCCATGTCCCTGCCCCAGCGGCCTCCAGGCTGACCCAGGATCACCCATCCCTTAGTACCTGGTGGTGAGGGCTGAGAGGGCAGAACTGCCCCATGATTCAGAAGGGAAAGGAGAAGGGACAGATAAGTGACAGGAATAGATAGATAGATAGATAGATAGATGATAGATAGATAGATAGATAGATAGATAGATAGATAGATAGATAGAGCTGAGAGTCAAGGAACACAGGATGGATAGGCAAAGGGAACAATGGCCCCATCCTTCTGTGCCCTCCAGTCCCACCTGAGACCCTTGCACCCCAGCCTTCTTACCTGGTGGTGCCTGCGACACTGGGTCCCCATTGCCTGCTTCTCAGTCCCTGCTGCCCGCTGCACCGCCCGCTGCACTCCAGCTTTCCAGCAGGCCGCTCCCTCCCTCCCTTCCTACAGGGGCGGCTCCTCGGCTCCCTGCCTCCTCGGCTCCCTGCCTCCTCTTGCTGTCCACTCAGGCCTCCAGGGGCCGCTCCACCCAGGACCAGCCTGTGGGGGACCTGGGGTGGCAGAGACACCCCCCCCCCCC